TCGTGAGCTTGATGCCCTGGCCGCCACGGGGGAGCAGGTTTCTGTTGGCTTGCTGGCTATTGCTTTGCAAAATGAGGGGGTGGAGGCTATTAGTTATGCCGGCTGGCAAGTGCCGATAGTTACCAATGCTTCTTATACTAAAGCGCGTATCGAGTCGATAGATGATAAGCGCATTCGTACCGATTTGACTGCAGGTAAAGTGGTGATTGTCACGGGCTTTCAGGGCATGGATGCTGATGGGCATGTCACTACCTTGGGCCGTGGTGGTTCTGATACCTCCGCTGTGGCGGTTGCCGCTGCATTGAAGGCGGATGAATGCCTGATTTACACTGATGTGGATGGTGTTTACACCACTGATCCCCGCGTTGTGCCGGAAGCCAGGCGATTGAAAACGGTGAGTTTTGAGGAAATGTTAGAGATGGCCAGCATGGGCAGTAAGGTGCTACAAATTCGTTCGGTCGAATTTGCGGGGAAGTACAAAGTCCGTATGCGCGTACTCTCCAGCTTTACGCCCTGGGACATCGCTATTGAAGAAGAAGCTGAATCTGGTACCCTAATTACTTTTGAAGAAGACGAGAAAATGGAACAAGCCATCGTATCTGGTATTGCGTTTAACCGTGATGAAGCAAAGATATCTGTCCTTGGTGTGCCCGATACCCCAGGCATTGCTTATCAAATTCTGGGGGCCGTCGCCGGGGCGAATATAGAGGTGGATATGATTATTCAAAACCTCTCGCGTGATGGGAAAACCGATTTTTCTTTTACTGTACACCGCAATGATTATGCTAAGACGATAGATTTGCTCAAATCCTCCGTGGCTAGCAAACTGGGGGCTAGCTCAGTCGAAGGGGACGCGAAAATTTGCAAGGTATCGATGGTTGGTATTGGTATGCGTAGTCACGTGGGCATAGCCAGCAAAATGTTCCGCGCCTTGAGTGAGGAGGGGATCAATATACAGATGATCTCTACGAGTGAGATTAAAACTTCAGTTGTGATTGATGAGAAGTATATGGAGCTAGCCGTTCGCGCTTTACATAAGGCCTTCGATTTGGATCAAACGAAGTAGGTTTGCGTTTCCATTTTTTGAAAACGCTAAAGTTTTCGATGCTGTAGCGCCGGCAGCTGTTGGCGCCACAGCTGCATAGCCTCCCAATCGCAGTCGCCCACTATTAAGCCTGCACCGGGTATAGTGCGCAGCGCAATGATTTCGCCCCAAGGGTTAAGGATGCTTGTGTGTCCCCAGGTTTGGCGACCGTTGCTGTGTATGCCGCCTTGCGCGGCTGCAGCGATAAAGCTCAGATTTTCTACGGCTCTGGCCCGCAGTAAGAGTTCCCAATGGGCCTGCCCTGTGGTGTAGGTAAAAGCGCTGGGAACTAGGTAAAGGTGGGCCGCCAGGGCGCGATAAAGTTCTGGAAAACGCAGGTCATAGCATACGCTTAGGCCAATGCGCCAGGTGTGATTGTCGCGGGAGGGCAGATCAAAAGTGACGGGCGTATCGCCAGCGTGTAAAACCTTGCCTTCGTTATAGGCTTCGCGCCCTTTATGGAAGGCGAAGAGGTGAATCTTGTCGTAACGTGCCATTTGTTGCCCTTGCGGGTTAAAAACCAAGCTTGTATTGCTTACTTTCTCGCGGACATTGGTTGTTAAGGGTATGGTGCCACCGACCAGCCAAATGCGATGCTGCGCAGCCTGCTGTCCTAAAAAGCTTTGTAGAGCCCCCTTACCTGCTGGCTCAGCTAAAGCCAGTTTATCGCGGTCACGTTGACCAAAAAAACAAAAATACTCAGGCAATAATACCAATTCCGCTCCGGATTGCGCTGCTTGTGCAATTAAATCAGCGGCAACGGCACAGTTTTGGGTCACATCTGGACCTGAGAGCATTTGGAGAGCCGCGACTTTCATAGGTATGAACCTGACTGTATTTTTAAGCTTCTCAAGGAGTTACCTGGTCTAATGATGATTGATGAGATAAATAAATAAAAACGCTGCGATATTTGCGGGATTTTATGGGCGTTAGCGGGATATAGAGGGATACGATTTGTAAAAGTGTTGCAGTTAATGCAAAAGAATCTAAAGACGATCCAAATACGCCTCCAAAACATCTAGCACAGCCTGTTTGTCGCCACTTCCAAGCGTCCCAGCGTCTGGGTCTGCAAACACCATCCCTCGCCTTGGTAAATTGTTCTTTGGCGCTCCCCACTCATGATAAACAGCGTAGGGCTGGCCTAGACCTACGCGCACCGTATCGCTGCCTAGCACCTGATGATTGACCGACTGCAGCATATCCCCATAGCGATCCAATAAACGGGCATTACCCGTTTTCCCAGCGTTTTTAGTCGCATGTGATCCCACAAATGGATAATTTGCGCGGGTTGAATCTGCCCAGGGCTGCCAACGTACGCCAAGCGGGTCGGTCTCTGTTTCAAAACGGGCCTTAATGCGCTCCTCCAGCGTCTGACCTATAGCACCCATAGCGCCTGACATATCAGCCAACTTACCAGACAGATGGGCCAAATGATCACGCACTCCATAATCCCGCTCATTGATTGTCAACATCGCAAAACCCCTATAAAATACACATACACAGGGCGCGAAAGGGGCTGCAATCTGGTGCGATAGCCCCCTGAAAGTTGACCCCACTGCCCAGACCAGTGCGGGAGCAAAGCCCCTGTGTATCCCCTACTAAGCGCCATACAATAAACGCCCAACACGGGCCGCATTCATCGCGCCCCGTTTGCGCTGCATCATATTCCAAACCACATCACCGTTGGGTTGCTGCATCACCACCACCAGCAGGTCATGCTTGGACCCGCTAAATAGCTTAACAAATCGTTTCCTAATCGTATCGTCATCATAAGCCGTGCCCCAAACCTCGTCGGGCGTTTGCAGAGTGGGCAGCACAAAATTAGCGTACCGCTCACGCGCATCTTGACGCTTATCCACTACATGGCCAAGCAACTCATCCATAATAGTCACCTTGCCGACCGGTGTCTCTACGCCAACACTGCCGCCTGGCACTACACCTAAAGCCTTGCGCAAAATGCCCAGCGCGGCATCATAATTTACCCCCATATCCAGCAACTCTGGCGCTTGCGCCTTGGACTGCACACTGCGCAAATCAGGCCTGCCCAGGCTCTGCCAATCGTGCTGCCCATCCACCTCTTTGGCAATCTTTGGGGCAGTCAAACCGGTCACCGTGGCGCTCTTGGCAATGGCCCCATCCAGAGCTGCCAACTTATCGCTGGTCAAGCGCTCTAAAAACTTCTGCCGCGCTTGTCCAGGGTTATAACCAAAGCCTGGGTCTACACCAAAAGGTATCGTGCTCGCCTCACCCGTGCGCTGGTTGACATAATCGCGCAGCACCACCTCTGGCGCTGCCTTAATCATGGGGGCGCCTGTTGGCGTAGTACCAGCATCGTACTCCTTACCTGTCACGCCAGCTATGCGGCAGCGGCAGCGGTAGCCATTGGGGGGCCAATGCGTGCGCCAAAAGTCATCGTCTATGGGCAGCGTCACATTGTCCCAAGTGCGGTGGCTCACACGCACGCGCTCATCACGTTTGGTAATGTAGCGGGCATATGGGTGAGTGGTCTTATTGCGACTCAAGCGATCCCACAAGCCAGCAGAGTAAGCCTGGCTGGTGTTAACGTCATAGATAAGTTGCAAACGCGCTGGGTCAAAGGTGGTTGTCACGCTTTGACCCGTCGCGGGGTCTGTAATTGTTTTTTGTCCCCACCAGCCTGCTTGGCTAAGCAAATCCTTTGCACTCTTGGTCCAGTCTTTGCGGCTCAAATCTCCCCCAACCGACTTAACGATCCCGTCAAAAAAAGCCTGCAACAAATCAGCCCTAGCCAAACGGCTAATCGTAAACTGCTGGCTGTGCTCAGACTCCCATAAATCCTGCCAACTAAAAGTGACAGCAACATCCTTGCGGCCTTGCAAATAAGCCACGGCCTCAGCCGGTGGCAGCTTATGCAGGCTGGCAAAATCGCTGGTTGCACTCATGCGGCATTAAAACTATCATCAACGCCAACAGCAGCACCAAAATGTGCGGCAAAACCTAGCCGAGTCAATGCCTGCGTCAAGGCTGTACTATCCATCTTGCTTAGCACAGTAGGCAAACGTACCAGTAACTGCTCAGCAGTAAGACCATCCTCTTG